GCAGTAGGAAACAAGGCTGGTGGTTCTCAAAGTGAGGTCACTGAACCACCAGCACAGGACTCTCCAGGAGTTGTTTGCCAGAAAATCCCTAAAGATGTGCTCCTTCATGAGTTCAGCTGATCACAGTCACTGGTTCAGACTATACTACAAAACATGCTTCTTCCACATATGGAGAGTAGTGAGACATTGCAAAGTAGTCTCCAAGAGATTTTGTAAAGAACAGGGAGGTAAACATTTGCCTGATGGTGGGACCATGCTCAGAAGTCCCATCTCAAAGCTCAGTTTAAGGGACCACAATGTCCACTCCCAGCCCATATTTTTGGAATTTTCTTGGTCACGAGAGTGTATTGTGCTCCCAAGATGGGCTGTGGCCAAGGCTCATGGATTCCCCAACACAGGTAGTCTCTTTGTTGTTTTTCAGAAGCCCCGGGAAGTTTGGAGATTTAAAAATAGGGAGGTGATGGCCTTTGCCAAAGTCACTTCCAATTAGACAATGAAATTCTTCTGTTTCTAGACTTTATAGAGATCTGAACACACTACTACTCCTTTTTGTAGGAGAGACCATGGGATAAAGATAGATTTTGAAAAATGGTTTCTTGGTAATATTTTCAGATTAGAAATAAATTGGCGATTAAAATGGATTAAATGCTAAATCTCTTCAAGATGGCCAAACAATATCTAGCAGCAAGATATCTCTTCTCTACAAATATTAAAAAAAAAATCCTAAACACATAGACTTTCAAGAATTATTTAAGAGGCCTTGAACACGCCAAGTTTAAAAATAGCTTTCATCAGACCCCAGGGAGTGTGAGTGGAATCAGCAATTATCTAACAACAAGAGCCAGTATGTAAAATTCCTTAGAGTTCTGTTTCAGGAACAGAGACAACAAGATCATTCAGCCGTCAGCTCTGTAGTTTACAGGAGTGGTTAGGAACACAATGCCTGAACTCAGACACACAGATCTGCCTTTTAATCCCAGAGTCACCCCTGGGCATTTCTGTGACTTTGGGCAAGTGACTTAACTCTCTAAGCCTCAGTTTTCTCATCTGCAAAATGGGAATAATAATAACAACAGTACCCCGTCCTCATTCTCTTATAGGTAATTATGAGAAGTAATCGAGTCACCGTATGTAAGCATCCGATCACCCTCTCTGGAGAGAGGAAGCCCTGACGCATGCTAACGATGACTGTTACTAGTATCTCTTCTACATTTAATGTAAACCAAGAATTTTCTGCAATGCCAGCATATTCAGGACATTCAGGAGGAGCTCGTTTGAAGGTTGTAGCTCAATGACATTCATCTTGTGGATTTAAATCCTGCACCTCCCTCAAGTCCCTCATCTGAAGTCACACCTTCTCCAGGAACTCTCTCCTGCTCCTAATATCCCATGGTAGATATTCCCTGGCCCCCATCACCCATATCCTGTCTTAGATTTTCCTTTCATCTTTTCATACGCACAAACTCCACCTCCCCAGTCAGACTGTAAATTTCTTCCAGGCCTAGCTCACACCATGAACCTTTTTTTTTAAAAAAAAATCTTTCCGAGTATAGTACATACATGGTGGATACGTAGGAATAAGACCATGTGATTGTGGAGGTCACTGTTACCTCTCTTCTCCTTCTTCCCTCTCCTAATAATAGCAATCATAATAATTACATTAATAATAAAAGCCTCTGGTTATTGAGTGCTTCCTGTGCCCAGGACCGAACGGAACACTTTAAATGGATCCTTGACAACACCGTATGAACATGTGCGCTGGGCTGTTGTCGAGAAGATCATGAAGACACAGGCTCCTGGCTAAACACTCAGCGAGTTCAAGAACACGACAAATTCCAGGTCCTGGACAGAAGATACTGACCTCTAGCCCTTTTTCCAATGGATGGTTTTAGCTGCCCCTATTCTCAAGGATTTCCCAAGGCAGCAATTTTGTGAGCTCCAAGATTGTCTTAAGGACAAGGGGCTTGTATCTTAGAGGGGGCACAGTTTGAAAAACTCCCTCCGGGTGTTTCCGATCTGTCTCTTAAGGTTGACCATAACCCACATTAAAGAAACATATATTACCCTGAAAATCAGGTCTGTACCACAGATCCTTTATGAAACAACGCTTAGGTTCATGTGAGGTACTCTGATGTTTATTTCATTTCATTCTTTTATTAAAAATGATGGTCATGAGAATGCGGAGAAATTGGAACCCTTATACATCGTTGGTGGAAGCGTAAAATGGTCCAGGCTCTTTGGAAATTCTCAAAATCTTCAACATGGAATTACCAAATGATCTAGAAACTCCACTCCTAGGTATATATGTCCAAGAGAAATGAAAACTCTATAAAAATTTGAACATGAATGTTCATAGCAGCATGATTCATCATAGCCAAAAAGTGATAACAAGCCACACGTCCATCACTGATAAATGAATAAACAAAATGTAACATGCCCACATAATAGACTAGTCAGTCATGAAAAAGAACAAAGTACTGACGTGTGCTACAACACGGATGACACTTGAAAGCATGCTAAGTGAAAGAAGACAGTCACAAAAGACCATATAGTGTAGAGTTTCCTTTGTATGAATAGTCCAGGATAGGCAAGTCTGTAGAGACAAAAAGTAAATGTGTGGTTGTCCAGGGCTGGAAGGGGATGTGGGGGAAATTGGAAGTGGATATGGAGTTTCTTTTCGGGATGATGAAAATGTTCTAAAACAGAATGTGGCTGGTGATAGTTGCAAGACTCTGGGAATGAAGGAAAAACCATTGAATTGTACATAAAGGGATGAATGCATGGGGTATGAATTATATCTCAGTCAAGCTGTTTAAATTTGTCTTCTTTTCTTTCCTTTTTTTTTTGAGTCAGGATCTCAACCAGGCTGAAGGGCAGTGACAGAATCACAGCTCACCGCAGTCTTGAACTCCTGGGTTCAAGTGATCCTCCCACCTCAGCTTGTTGAGTAGCTGGGACTACAGGTGCATTACTAGTCCCAGCTAGTTTTAATTTTTTTTTTTTTTTTTTTTTTTTCAGAGATGAAGTCTTGCTATGTTTGCCCAGGCTGGTCTCAAACTCCTGGGCTCAAGCAATCCTCTCCCCTCAGTCTCCTAAAGTGCTAGGATTACAGGTGTGGGCCAGTATGCCCAGTCAGTAAAGGTGTTTTAAAAGGACGACTGTGATCCAATAATTTGATTCTACCACCCTAAATGGATCATAGCACGGATGGAAAACCATCATCCCAGAGTATGGTCCCCTGCCTGTCCTCTTCATGAGAATCAGTGCTTGATCTGGATGGTCATGGAGACGGCAAGCTTTGGATGGGCAATGGACAGACAGGTGGATGGGGGTCCCTACGGACAGAGGCTGAAAGCCATCTGTGGCACAGTGTCCACAGATCCTACAGTGAGATCACATTTGTGGCAGCACCTGCCCTGCTAGAAGGTTCTCAACCTCCCTAACAGCTTGGGTGGCCAAGGAGAAGAGGAGCCCTTGGCGAGATTTCTGGAAGAAAGTTTTCTCTTCCAACTTTTTTTTTTTTTACTCCATTCAAATGCACATAAAATAAAAGTACCCATCTTCACCATTTTTCAGTGTAGAGTTCAATGGTGTCAAATACCCCGTTAACCACCCCCTCCCATCTCCAGAATGCTTTTCATCTTGTAAAACTGAAGCTCTGCACCCACTAAACCCTAACCCCTCAATCCCCACTCCCTCCAGTCCCTGGCACCCACCATTCATCTTTCTGTCTCTGTGACTTTGACTATTCTGAGTACCTAATATAAGTCGAATCATACAGTAGTAGTCTTTTTGTGCCCGGCTTGTTTCATTTCGCATAATATCCGCAATTAGCAAAATATCCATGTTGGGACACATTGCAGAATGTCCTTCATTTTTTAAGACTGAACGATATTCCATTGTGTGTATATAGCACCGTTTGTCTACCCATTTCTCCGTTCACGGCCACGTGACTTGCTTCTACTTTTTGGCCATTGTGAATGATGCTGCTGTGAACACAGGTGTGAAAACATCTGGTGGACACCTTGCTTTCAATTCTTGTGGGCATATACCCAGAAGTGGAATTGCTGGATCACAGTGTAATTCTCTGTCTAATTTCTGAGGAACCGCCATGCCTTTTCCCATAGCAGCCGTTCCATTAACATTCCTGTTAGCAGTGTACCAAGGTTCCAATTTTCTTTTTTTTGAGTTGGAGTCTCACTCGGTCGCCCAGACTGGAGTGCAGTGGCTGCTCCCGGCCACCGCAGCCTCGACCTGCTGGGCTCCGGCGATCCTTCCGCCTCAGCCCTCCAAGTAGCTGGAGCTACAGGCGCGCGCTACCATGCCCGGCTAATTTTTGATTTATTGTAGAGATGAGGTCTCGCCAAGTCGCCCAGGCGGGTCTCGAACCCGCGGGCTCAGGCAATCCACTCACCTCAGCCTCCCCAAGCGCGGGATGACCGGCTGAGCCACCGAGCCTGGCTAACGTTCCCATTTTCTGCATCCTCACCAACACTTATTTATTTTGGAGAGTAGTCATCCTAAGGGGTGTGTCTAGGAGAGATTTTGGGGACTGAAGCAGCTGACCCGGCCGGAATGGGCGGTCCTTTTGCCCTCGCCTCTTCTTCCTGCCTCAGACCCCTACCGGAGGGCTCGGTCTCAGAAGCCACCTCATGACCTTGGGGAGGAACAAGCGCCAAGACTGGGGACGCCCGGGAGAGGAGCCCCAGTCCCCGACGCTGTCCTGAAGCCGCCTCGGCTGCCTCCCTCTGGACTTCTTTTCCGTGACCGGCTCAACCCCTCACCTGCTTACGACGCTGAGTTGGATCTCTGGCTTTAGCGGCCGAAGAAGTTTCCAGATGAGACGCCATCTAGGCGAACCCAAACCAGCCCCGTGGCGCATGAGCCGCCGGGAGACCCTTTAAGAAACAGCCGCTCCCCTCTGGCCCAGGCCTTTCTACCTCCCTTGTCTCCCGGAAGCGCCTCTCCCCAGGCCCCGAGGGAAGGGGGGAGTCAAATACCTGGTGATCTTAAATATTCTCAGCAGGCGGACGCATCTCAGCACGGAGATGCCCAGGGGAGACATGACCTTCGTCTCCACCAGGATGGTCTCCAGGATGCCCCCGCACACGATGAAGCAGTCGAAGCGGTTGAAGAGAGACACGAAGTAGGCCTGCAGGCCCAGGCTGTACATCTTCAGAAGCATCTCGGCCGTGAAGAGAGCCAGCAGGGCCTTGTTGGCCGTGTCTGGTGCGCCCAGGAGCCAGGCCGCATCCGAGCAGGGGTGGGAGGAGGGCGTGGAGGGAAGCGGGGGAGGGAAACAGGCATTATCCCCACCAGAACCAAGACCCCAACGCCCTCCCCTGCCCAAGCCACTCCCGCTCCTTCTGGCCAGAACAGAACCACCGAGGCCAGCCAACGGGGGAGGGCTGTCTCCCCACAGACACAGTGGACACGGGCCGAGCACCCTCTGCGCCTCGGCGACCGCGCGGGCGTTTCTCTTCTCACAGGAGTCCGTGAGAAGCGCTGTTTTAATCTGTTTTTGTGAGTGGGAGGCTCACTCGGTCGCCCGGACTGGAGGGCAGCGGCCGCTCCCGGCCGCCGCAGCCTCGACCCGCTGGGCTCCGGCCACCCTTCCGCCTCGGCCTTCTGAGTAGCTGGGACTACGGGCGCGCGTGACCACGCCCGGCCGATTTTTTGATTTATTGTGGAGATGAGGTCTGGCTGCCCAGGCGGGTCTCCAACCCGTGGGCTCAGGCAATCCATTCACCTCAGCCTCCCAAAGGCGCGGGATGACAGGCTGAGCCGCCGAGCCCGGCTTATTGTGATCTTTTAAAAAAAATTTTTAGATTGATGGGATACATATGAGTGTTCGCTACATGGATCTCTTGGGTAGCGGTGGGGACTGGGTCTCTGGTGGCCCATGCCCCAGATCGTGAATATTGTACCCAATTAGGTAGTTTCCACCCCCTCGTTGGTGTCCTCAGTGTCTGTTATTTCCATCTTTGTGACCATTTAGCGCCACTATTTTTTATCACGCCCACTTTTCAGGGATGAGAAATGAGGTTGAGAGAGGGATGTCATCCGCCCAAGCCGAGCAGTCACAAGTCGAAGCCGGGCTGTCTGAGTCTGACCTCTTCACCACCGGACTCCCTGCCTCCCAGGACTCTTTGTGTCTGCCTGACTCCCCAGAGGGGATGCTGAGGCCCAGTGAGTGGGACTCTCTTCTAGGGGCCCAGGGAAGGCTGATGACCCGCTGAGGATAGTCCTTTGTGCTCAGGTCACTGTGTTCCCCTTCCCTGCCTTTTTTGCTCACACCATCCTTGCACATTCCAGATAAGGCCACCTGGAGGTTGTGGTAAGGCCCCAAGGTGTTTAAAATCCATTCTGGGAAGTTGGCGGCCAAGGGTCTGAGATAGCCAAACAAGTTACAGCTCGTGTGCTTGTCACCCGGACCCAACAGTGACTGTGGGGCCGGCAGATGGTGTGGACCCAGTCGGGTAAGCCGTGGGTCTGTTTCGAATGAGGTTGTGTGTTTTACTGGGAGGCCTGGCAGCTTTCCCATTGACCTTCTGCCTGTGGTTATTCCCTCCCCGGGACTCAGGGCTGAGTTGGCGGGAGGAAACCGGGACAGAGCCGGGCCACTGCTCACCTTGGACCTCCGTGAGCCAGTGGGGCTGGTTGTAATGCTCGGAGGCAATGGTGAGCGTGTTGAGGAACACCAGGAAGATCACCAGCCAGTAGAAGACGTTGGACTTGACCGCAGCGCGGCACTTTCTTCTGCAGAACCGATTCCACCGTCGCCAGTAGCGGCTGGAAGTGGGCAAAGAGAGAAGGGTGGACTTGGCTGTGAATTCGGGTTTCTTCCGATCTGAGATACGCTGTGGTTCCTCTCGCCCCCTCACTGACCAGGCCTTGCTACAATAGACCAACCTCGTGGCAAGGAGCCCAGCTTTCGGTCCAGTTATCCAGGCACTGCCACTGAGTAGCGTGACCTTGGGATGCCCCTGACCTCCTCCGAGCTTTGGTTTCCTCATCTGTGAAATGGGAAGAGGTCAACCTGATAGGGTTGATGTGGGGACTGATCAAATATCTCATAGTGCATCTGGCTGCACAGAAGTTGAAGGCGCTCGACCACTGTATGCATTTTTATTTTTGAGTAACGGCATGATTAGAAACACTACTGCAAATATTAACAGCATTATTAGTAATAGTGGTGGTGATGCCTGGCACCAGATGGGCACATCTTACGCTTTCTCCCCAATTCTTTAACTAACTCTGCAGAACAATTATTATCTTGATTTTGTAGAGGAGAAAACCAAGGGCTGTGGAGGTCGATCACCGTGTGATCAATATCACACAGTGGCAGAGCCAGCCTGGTTTTCTTCTCTGCCTAGTCTCTTGCCCCTGACTCATCTATACTGTGGAAGGGGTTAATCCAGACTGGAGGCTCTTTGCTTTTATGAAGTTATAGGATCTCCTGGGAATCTGATGAACGCTTACACCCTCTCTTCAGAAAAACAGGCGCACCCCAACATGTACACGCTTTTGCATGTAAACTCAGGCAGTACACGGACCCCGTGAGGCTCATCCGTGGTCTATGGCATGTTCCACGGACTCTTGGTAAGGGATTGTTGTCAGTGATTCTCAAACTGGGCTACACATACAATTACTTGGGGAAGCTTAAAAAACCCTCTGAGAACCTTACCAGCCCCCAGGCCCCGACATGAAACCAATTAGACCCGATTCTGTGGAGGATGGGTAGTTTTTAACTACCCCCAAAGATACCACTGGTATTTTTTAAAGTTCCCTGAATAATTCTAATGTGTAACGATGGTTGAGAACCATTCAACCAGATGATCCCAAAGAAACATTCACATTATCATGATTCTCTGGTGGAGGGTTTTCATCCTCCTGACACAGGGAAAATATACAGTGACATCTGGTAACTCGGTAGATGGCACCGTTAATATGGGAAGTCCCCAGAATTTATTTATAAAAAATTGTATATTCACTCTTACATGTTTCAACTTCAGTCACCTTCAAAAATACTCTGATGCAATACACCTATTGAGATGCTTTTTCCATTCCTCAAAACAGTTTTTGAACTTGTCAATTTTGATGCCTTTTAGCTCTTCTGCCATTTTTTGGTTTCACCTCTTCCACATCTGCAAAACGTTTCCCTTTGGGGACTTTTTTCATCCAGGGAAACAAAAAAGAAGTCGCTCAGGGTGAGATCTGGTGAATAGGGAAGGTGAGGCACAGGGATTGTGCTGAACACACAGCAAGGCATGGGCGGGTGCACTCGTAAATCACCCATCATGAAATGGGCAAACATGTTGAAAGAATCTCCAAGAAAAATTCACTGAAGCCGAACGCAGTGTCTCCCAACAATGCTAGCTGGTCCTCTGATGCCGATGGGTTCCTAGAACACTTACCTAGCGGAAGAAGCCTGTAGTACGAGGCGCCCCCCCCTCCAAAAGACGATTCTAGATTTTTGGGGTCCCCTCTTGTAAATGCAGGACTACGCAAAGGAGTGAGGGAGAGGTGGCTGGAGAGGTGATGGGGAGGAGACCGCAGAGGGTTGTGCTAAAAAGGCTCTGGGCAGGGGAAGAACATGACTGGATTGGCTATTAGAAAACCAGACACCCCACAAAAACAGCCTCTGTGGCACCTTCTAGACCAGGGAGAGATGAGGAACGCTGTTTCCAGTTGTCTGGGTTAGAGATGATGACGACAGTAGCTTTATTATGTTTTTTGGGGTTTTTTTTTGTTTTTTGAGTTGGAGTCTCACTCTGTCGCCCAGACTGGAGTGCAGT